AATAATAATTTCAAAACTTAACATCTCTTTTGGTACGAATAAGTTCCCAGAAATTCGTGAAAATTGTATTGCGTTTAAGATTTTTTTTACGAAGAACGCGGAAACAGACGTACCGACTAAACTGTACAATCCTTTCAATGTCCACCATTCCATTTGAATGTTCTTGGTTCGGAAAAATAGATAACACAATAAAGGTGACAATTGTCAAAAATCCATAAGTCCAATGGTAGTAAAAAGAGATCAAATATTGTTGGATCCGATAAGAGAGCGTGATAACCTCGTCCGATATACCCTTGATTTTCGCGAGAATAATTACGTATTTGACAGTTAAAGCGAAATCTATTCTCGAATACCTTAATACTGTAATGAGCAACTGGATTCGAAGGTACCGTAAAGAGGTTGACGTATCAATGATCGACAAAGGTCAGTGAAGATCATCTTCGTCGCTATCGTTACCGTCTTTCGATCTATCGGCACCCCCCTCACCGTCGCTGGAGCCCGAATCGCTCCCAGAGTCTTCGGATTGCCAGCCGCCAGCTTGTTGTTGCTGTACGTGTTGCTGTTGAACAACGTGCTTCGAGACTTTATGACGTTTACCCGCGCGTTGCACCGGGTCTGCCCCAGCACCATCGAGCATCGGCTGCAGGATTCGCCGACGAGCATTAATGAACCAATTGTTCACTTGCAACAACGTTAAGTTCGTTTGACTTGCGATCTGACGCTTCTCATCCTCCGTGGGATAAGGGTGCTGTAAAATATTGTTGATATTATTATCATCATGTTTCTGTTCTGCGAAGGGCAAAATTCCGGGCTTTGTCAATTCCATAGGAATTATCATGATTATATATAATATCATTATAACAAATCAAACAGTTTTTCATACTATATAAGAATTTCATGTAAACTAAATAAATATTTGTCACGCAATTAACCCTTAGAGTGCTGAATACTTTCGACGCGAGCCATCGATTTCGTCGGAACAAATTTTCAAAATGAACCACATCAAATTGATTCTACATTTTCCTCCGATTCTTCTTCTGAGCTTTTCTCCGTGTAGGATGTCGCATATATGCGGCCATAGTTTACACCGATCGCTTTCGCTGGGCGTATAAATGCGCCCTCAGCGCTCCAAGGGTTAAGGCGTACCGACAGCGATGATTTTACACAACATAGCAGAAAAGAGTTATACAGGACTGATTATTTAAATAAGAACACCTAAATATCGACATTACTTATGGTCCTACGAAACTCCTTAGGATAAAGTTGCGTTATTTTAAAGAGCAGATTAATAAAATTAATAAAAGAAACGATTCTTTTTCTAGAGAAATTCTTTATGAGAATCAGAATTAGAATTCAATATATTTTTTAAATAGAAACGTGAACGCGAAAGAAATTTAGTAGACCTATAAAAACCTGAGCTATAGGAGCCTCAGCATCGTGAATACTGTTGAATAAAGAAGTTATGTTAATTGAGATGGAATGGATACCTTGACAGGTAGCAACTATACAGAGGTAGACATTTAAATAAAAGGCATACGTACAACTAAATGTTCAAAGAGCCAAGTTCGCATGATACTTGTAGCTTGTTTAGGTAAAACTCCCCTCTTCTGTCTTCCTTTCTTAATGCTACTATGACTACCTCCGTGAGTACTACTGTGATTTGAAGTAGCAGTGCCAGTGCCACATCCTTCGTCTTCGTCTTCACTGGGTGCAGGAGAAGGAGAACCCGCCACGGTGATATCTAAACAGATTAAATAAGAGTCATTAACTGTTATAAATCTGTTAAAATACATTTCACCAGTACTCCGTATTCAATATTCTCTTTTAAATTCTTTTCAGAGTATTTCTCATAGCTGTTTCAGTTAAAAATTTTTGAATATCTAGACAAAGACTATAAACATTCAAGCATTAAGCAATTTTTTCTAACCAAGGTACTTTTCGTCGTTAGCATCTCCCACATCGATGTATTCATTCTCATGTTCTTGTAATGCAAGAAGGCCCCAATAACCAGCTTCTTCTAAATATATTCTGTCGCCAGTAATCACATTGTCCATACCATCTATAAACGACATTTCTTTGATGTATTGTTTATAAGAATACTTGTGGCGTTCACCTACTGGCTCACGTTGTGAGTTGTTTAAAGGAGTTTGCTTTAAGGTATTTATTATATCTTTAATTGGTAAGAAAAATTCTGGCCAATTTGACTCTTTTACAATTAAAGACTGTAAGGGTATAAATAAAAACCAATAAATGATTCATTTTAGTAAACTGTACCGAATTATAGTAAATTATAGTTATGTTCATTAATAATATCGTAGCCCCTTGCTTATATTTGAAATAACTTGTACAAATGTATTCGTATTGATGTTCCATTACTTGGATGCAATACCCAAAGAGTTCACCTGCTTCAGATACAATACATAGATAACACATAAAATTACAATCACATGCGAGCTCTTATTCTTCAAAGAAGATAATGGGTCATATTGACCTCATCTTACCAATTGAAGGTCAACAGTTATTTTAGACAACAATGTATAGAAAGAGAAAACTAAAACATTAAGATGCAGTTTATCTTTTTACTTACTTATTAGGGACCTTAAATGAAAATCGGCCATTAATAAGAACTCAAAGAGGGAAATTTACACGGAGGAAGCTCACCTTGACCAAGATACATATCGTTGACTGGTGCACAGGTATGCACCCCGATTTGAGAAAGGGGCGTGCTCCCGTGTACCGTAGAGGGTGACAGAGGATCGTCATGCTCCTGGCTGGAGGATCTGTTCGAACGTTGAGCAGTGGAAGATGATCGCGCCGACGGCGGCCTGTCGTTACCGGTTTCCTCTTGCGCGGCCACTTGACTCGCGCCACCGTTCTCCGACAGGGTGTCGCTTCTGCTCACTCTGAATCCGTTAGCTCCCGGTTCAACATCATTGCCTGTAGAAGACAGCACCTGGGAAATATATGTCGCAACTAGCCGTCAGAGAGCAGGGGTGGGGTTCTATAATATTTCGAGCGACGCGCAAGTATCGCTCGTTCTTTATACTATACATGTGAAAAACTATACCTCGAACGATCCCTTCAATTGTATATCCCTAAATACAACGTCAACCCTCCAGATACGTATTCTTATGTACATGTGGCTCAGCAATTAAGCAAGTTACCGCCCCCTCCAAAGCAAAAATTAGTGCATAAAACCTATTGTTTCTACTATCTATTATTACCTATTCAGATGTTTAGATTGAAATTTTCAGATAACAAGCATTTGTCCTAACGAGAAATTTATCTACGTGCTGCGATTCCAAAAATTTTCGTTCGACTTTTTCACAGTAGAATTTGTGTAACAGCGCGTACTACAATTTTGGATGAAATTTTCATGGGATATTCTTTGATTAATGTAGTTTAAGGTATGAATTTCTGTATGATACAAATGTATATCAATAAATGTGTTACATCAGTGTTTTCACTTAACAACTGCTAAAAATTTTCTTTCTAGAACGAAAGTTAGAAAGGAAGAGGAGTAACTTACTTATTGATCAATTCCCGTCTTTTTTAAGTAAAGAGACAATTCTATGTATATGTGTTTTTAATTAATCAGTTTCAAAGGTGCTTTACATGTTAATTTTTTTTCATAGCAAACAACCTGTAGCCAGCATCAGTGGAAAGTCAAACTCTCAGAAACATCAAAATTCGCGATATGTCACTGTATTGCCTATCTTTACCTAGGAGATCTTATAGGACTTCATGTAAAATTTATATAGTGTTCAGCAGCCCTTCAGAAGACTTTTTCTTAGAGACATAAGAGTTACGGAATTTGTTCCTTATACGGTATTAGTTTATAATTACTATTGGTTAAAAATTAAAAACGTATCAATTATTTAAGGATAACTTGATTATGTACTGGCTTAAAAAACGAACTGAGATTTTGTAATATTTTAGCAAAGCGTGATTTATACGATGAAAAATACTTTATACTGAAATGACATTGAATCTGGAAAGTATAGCTAAGAGGCGGAAGCTTTTTCAGCACATTAGTTGTACACTATTAAAAATGTCTTATTCTGCTCGTG